AACCTTTTCATTTTGCACATCTACATTATGCACCTTGTACTCATGACCACAGAATATCTTGCACCCTGGCACACCCAAGAATCAATGCTCCAGATAGTAGCCAGTGTCAGTCACCGCACACTGAAGGACTCTACAAGTTAGCAAGTCAAAATGCATCACCTCCAAGGCACAGAATACATACTTTTTCCCCAGTAAGTGAAGGTACACAAAGCTACATCATACACATTATGCTCAGCAAAACAGTTCCAGCTCTGAAAATACTTCCTTGTGCCTAGACTTAGCTACCATTTCCATATTCAAACTGGCCATGCTTCATTGGTCTCTCATTTCTAACATAGCAAGCCCAAAGTTGTAACTGCCCTGCCACAGTCATCCTTCTCAAGTGTGATAGGATACCTCTGCTCTATTATGTTCCTCTAGACTGGAGAAAACAAGACTTCACGCATACTCCAGCTGTGCATAGCTAAAAATCTCATGTAACTTTTCCAGGAAGGGCTTTATTCACATTCTGGGAGTCCATGTATTAGCATAACTCAGGGTCTAACTCTCGTATAACCTAAAATCCAGGGATTTTCTTTGTACATATATTTGGATTAGGCCATTTTTTATATAAAAAAAAAAAACCAAACAAGACAGTCCACTTCCAGTGTGTTCATTAGTGTGTGTATAAACTAGCCTGGCACAGTAATGAACTGCATCTGTAAAGATATTCCCTTTTATCCGTAAGACTAATCATCATCACCGAAACTACCTTTATAACATAGAAATGTGTAATTGCATTCATATTCAGTGGAGTTGTAACACTGTAACATACTGTAGTTCAAATGGTATAACATTTGGCATGGTTCTGCATTCATCCTGCTCTCTGAGGGTTTGCAATTCCCAGTCATGAGCTGTTAGCTGAATCTGGTCTTATATTTAGACAATACACTCTCTGGAGACACTATATTTCTCCAGCCTTAGACAAAATCAGGTTCCAGCCTTATACAAAACATCTGGTTATTGTTATGATAGTAAAGTACTAAGCATAATGACCAGTGAATAAAATTTCATTCATGAGAATTTTTGCTGAAAGCAAACTTAATGAATGGTAGCACAAGTGCATATTCCCAAGAATGTGCTCTGAAATGCCTTTGTGACCATTTTGAGGAGCTCTTTTTATTACTCACATAATATATTTGGTTAGGAATTTAAAAGCTTGCCTTGCTGTAGAACCTGTTTTTAAGGTCACCCTATCAAGAAACAACTAGATTCCTTATCTGCACCATGCAATTTGTTCACAGGTGAGCAGGGGTTGCTAAGAGCACTGGCTTCATAAACAATATTACAAAAACAACATTCATTTGTAAAAACTACTTGAATAATAGTAGGGGAAAAAAACCCCAACATATAAAATCAGAAAGATACAAGCTTTTTTCAAGATAATTCTGCACAGTGGAAAGGGTTATATTTTCACAAAGCTTCTCTTCCTTATGGTTCATTCTACTTCACTTTAGGCATCAGTACAGAATGCAACATAAAAAATCATCATCAACCCAAGTGAGAGAAAATATTTCCAGGGTTATAACCAGTCATAATGAAACATATTTTTCTTCCGCACCATCAGGATGGAAAAATCACTCTGACTCAAAACCCTAACAATGGCAAAAGAGGCAAACACTAGCATAAAACCAAATATAATTGGATTGTTAAGTGCTGGAAATGAGGAAAAGGTATCTCATGAAAATTTACAGGGGTTTTCTCCACTTCGACTGACAGCAGGAGGGAAAAAAACCAGGCATTTTTCTTTCCAGTTTGACAACAGACCAGGTACTGACAATGTCACTGCACAAAACCATTCTCTGGTCATCACATACAGCTGCTGGCTTCCTTTTTCCATCGGGAACATTTGTTTGATTTTCCTCATAAAAAGCAGAAGCCACAAAAAGAAGATAGCCTCTATCCTGTCCTCTGACACTTGCATAGTTATATTACAATGGCCTCAGAAACAAGTTCCTGCTTCAAAAGAATGGTGTGCCAATGCGACTGACTCTTGTTTTGCCCCCGTACAACACAGAGCCTATCATTAAGCTAACGAAAACTGAATGGAAAGCTACTCAAAAATAAAAATAAATCTAATTTGAATGCAGTATGGGACAAGGTGCATGTCTAACTTGGTGGTGACACAGACATCCCCTTTGAAATATATAATAAGACAAGCCCCGCTTACAGCTTCCCCAAGATAGACATCTTGCAATATACTTCCTGACACCAGTGTTCTGGGCTGTATCATTCCTCTCATTAGTCTCCTTAAACATCACCTGGCCATGCAGAGAAATCATTCTGCACAGAACCGTAACGAGCTGGCTACGTGCTACACACTGGAAGAATAGATGTGTGCTATACTGGGGAAGGCCAATCCAGCAGTATCTATCACCCCTCCTCAAATCACTGCTTTTAAGTTTTGCAGCTGTCAGAAAAAGAGAGATATATCTCTCATATGTGTGATCTATCATGACTTTTCTCACAGGAGGCAAGGGTCCTGGGGGGTGGGGGACGTCTCCAACTTCTTCCATCCTAAACAGGGAACTGTGTTTTCATGTGTAAGATTGACACACCAGCTGACCTTCAGGCAAATTCATGCTGCTTTAGGGACCCAGGGGACCCTTGGGTTATCCTTTTGGTAGAGAGATTGAGCCATTCTCTGTATGGTGGAGTCAAAAAATTACTAAAGGAAAACTACCAAATGGGTATCAGTTGGTATTTTTTTTCTTAATGCTGTGATTTCAGTTGTGCTTTCTGCAAACTATACTCAAATCTTGCAACAGTCTTGATAGTTCAGCTCCCTATTTTGTGTTCAAAAGAGTCCAGAACTATGAAAGGCAACCTAAAGACAAATCAAGGAATCAAACTATATGACACAATCGGTTGGTATTCTGTAAAGCACTTGCTGTGCTGCAAAAGTCACACAAATGTGATGCTGCTAACATATTATACCACCCTCAGTAAACTGTGCAGACCCTTCTAGCCTTTCTCAAATGCTCTGGTGGCAGCTCAAAAAAAGCAGAAGCTAAGCTTCAGGAATCCTTATCTAACAGGTAGAAAGCTCTCATCTCTCAGTTTCCTACAAACTGGTACAAACACTGATACATTAGTTTATGTCCACATCACTTCTTGTATGTTTGATTTAGCAACTGTCTTCTTGGGTGAGACAAACTTGTGTCACCCTGAAGTTACCAGTAAAGCACCATGGTAGCTACACAGATCCTTCTGAAAAAGAAGCACAAAATACAGTCCCACTAAAACTATCATTTTGCCAAACTGCTTTGAAATGATCAAATTCCACCTCTCGCTACCACTAGGTTTCATTTAGTTTCTTGGTGAAATCTCAAAAAAGCCAGTGTGTCTGCTGATACATACAGTCCCAAAACATTTCAGAGCAGTGGTCCTTTGGCCTTGTGCCTGAACTCAGAAGCTGAGATTAACTACGAGGCCAGAGCCGACAGCCCTTAAATTCGTGCATCTGAA